CAGTAACAGATGTGCAAATTGAGATGAGGCTACATGAGTAATATTAATAAATATACAATGGTAGTAATAACAGCAATAACATTACAAATGATCAAATGAGATGAAACAATTTGGTCCGACTGTTCTCTGAGATAGATAAGTCCACTAGCTAGCTACCTGTTTAAGAGTCTAATAGCTGAGGGGAAGAAGGAGTTCCTTAATCTGGAAGTCCTGCAATTTACACTCCTGTACCTCCGTCCTGAGGGTAGGAGTGTGAACAGTCTGTGTTGGGGGTGGGTGGGGTCTTTAATGATGGATGCAGCTCTTCTGTGGACTCTGCGATGGTAAATGGCCTGCAGAGAGGGCAGTGGAGTCCTGATGATCTTCTCAGCAGTCTTCACCACTCTCTGCAGACGTTTGCGGTCCCTCACAGTAGTGCTGCTATACCACACGGTGATGCAGCTGGTCAGGACGTTCTCAACAATACAGCTGTAGAAGTTGTTGAGGATCTTAGGTGACATGCCAAACATCCTCAGCCTCTTCAGGAAGTACAGCCGCTGTTGTGCCTTCTTAACCAGCTGGGTTGAGTGTCCAGGTGAGGTCCTCACTGATGTGGACCCTCGGTATTTAAAGCTGCTCACCCTCTCCACTTCAAGCTCTTGGATAAGCAGTGGCTGGTGAGTTCTCCTCTCTTTCTCATGTCTGCTATAATTTCATTTGTCTTGTCCGTGTTGAGGGTGAGGCTGTTGTCCTCACAGCATGTCACAAGCCTGGCCACCTCCCTCCTGTAGGTCACTTCATCCCCACCAGCGATCCGTCCTATCACTGCAATGTCGTCAGTGAACTTCACAATGATGTTGTCCTTGTGGGAGGCGACACAGTCATGTGTGAACAGCGTGTAGAGGATGGGACTGAGAACACACCCCTGTGGGGAGGCCAATGTCTGTTATGATAGTGTCTGAGATCCTATTTCCAATCCTGACAGACTGCTGTCTACCAGTCAGGAAGTCAAGCAGCCAGTCGCAGAGTGTGCGGGGAAGTCCAAATGCAAACAGTTTCTGGGTGAGTTTATGGGGGATGACCGTGTTGAAGGCAGAGCTGTAGTCGATAAAGAGCATCCTGATGTAGGTGTCCTTATCTTCCAGGTGAGAGAGGGAAATATGGAGGGCAGCAGCAATGGCGTCTGAGTTGGACCTGTTGAAACAACACTGTCTGTGGTACACTAAAAATAAAGGTGCTTAAAAGGTTCTTCACAGCGATGCCATAGAAGAACCATTTTAGTTCCACAAAGAACCAATTCAGTAAAAGGTTCTTTAAAGAACCATCTCTTTCTTACCATATTATAATCTGAAGAACCTTCTTTCGCCACAAAGAAACTTTTGTGAAACAGAAAGGTTCTTCAGATGTTAAAGATTCTTAATGAAACCATGTAGACAAAAAATGTTCTTCTATGCCATCATGAAGCACCTTTATATTTAAGAATGTAAGTAATTTATATATGTTATTTTTTGTATATAGTTGTTTAATAGTTGTAGTAATTGGGAAGTTGTGGCCTAATGGTTAGAGAGTCGGACTCGTAACCCAAAGGTTGTGGGTTTGAGTCTCGTGCCGGCAGGGATTGTAGGTGGGGGGAGTGAATGTACAGTGCTCTCTCCCACCTTCAATACCACAACTGAGGTGCCCTTGAGCAAGGCATTGAACCCCCAACTGCTCCCCGGGCGCCGCGGCAAAAAATGGCTGCCCACTGTTCCGGGTATGTGTTCACGGTGTGTGTGTGTTCACTGCTGTGTGTGTGCACTTTGGATGGGATAAATGCAGAGCACTAATTCCGAGTATGGGTCACCATACTTGGTCACATGTCACTTCACTTCTTAATAGCGCATGCTAGCTTACCTGTTACAACCCTCCTTAGCCTCAGGTTCTGAAAAGGTCTCTTTTGGTTTGAGCCATTCCAGTTCAATTGAGTGTCTAAAGAATGGAGAATCAATGTTATTAGTGTTCTCCTAGTTGCAACATGGACAGTACACCCACCAATGCCTGCATGGGCCCAAAGGTACAAAAGTTGCTCTGGGCTGTGTCCCAAACGGGCTGTCCGCTAGTGTGGGCTGCTCACAGAGAGCCCGCAGTGAGCCCAAAGCTGTGGGAGCTCGCCTGGGCTAGCCCGCACTGGGCCTGTTTAGGTTTGGTGTGGGCTGGCCCTATAGCCCACTATGCCCACAAAAAGCCAGCATGGGCCCTGCAGGGAGATGTTCGCAGGGCATCTATGTGAAGCTAGTAAGTTTTTTATAGTATTACTATATGGGTAGTATGGGTCCGTCCGTAGTCCCTACTCCGCCATGGCCTTCTGAACTGTCTGCTTTGCCATGGCCTCCTGAACTATCTGATCCGCCATGGCCTCCTAGTCTGCCTGCTCCGCCATGGCCTCCTAGTCTTTTTGGCTATCTGATCCGCCATGGCCTCCTAGTCTGCCTGCTCCGCCATGGCCTCCTAGTCTGCCTGCTCCGCCATGGCTTCCTAGTCTGCCTGATCCGCCATGGCGCCCCGAACTGTCTGATCCGCCATGGCTCCCCGAGATGCCTGCTCCGCCATGGCGCCCGAATAGGTACCGCTCTCGAGGCCTGCTGTCCCGTGTCTGTCCCGAGGGGCCTCCAGAGTGTATTGGTTATCCTCCTCTCCTGTCTGCCCCTCGTTATCTGCCCTATTTGAGTCATAACCCGTTCTGTTCTCCCTTGTCCAGAATTGTGAATGTCAAACTCCTAAGCTACGTCTGTTTTCCTGGTTCCCTTGATTTCATTATATTCTCCTTGTAAATGTTCTCCACGTCTTCTCGCTCCGTGCTCCAGCACAGTAGCAAACGTCACACACACACACACACACACACTCACTCACTCACTCACTCACTCTAAAAGGTTTTAAGCCAGTTATTTTGCTGTAGTGTGTCAGTGGGAAATGTCAGTTTACATTTCCAAACATTCCTTTTGTCATTATTTTAATCCAGTGAGATTTTTGTTTGCACAAGGAGTCTGACAACAGCCAGTGCTCCACACAGAGATCTGATCTCATCATCATCATCCAGTCTGTCTGGAATGACATGAAGAAACAGAACAAACTGAGACAGACTCAATCCAGAAGAACTGTGGCAACGTCTCCAAGATGCTTCAAGAAACCTACCTGCAAAGCTACAGTAGCCTACTGTTAAAAGTTTTAGTCATAAATAGATTTTATTTATTTAATGTTTATTGTTTAGCCTATAATTAAAAGGGCTCAGTGTTTTGTAGTATTGCCTTTCCCACTTTAAACATAACCCCCAGTACAGACAATTAAAAAATCGGCATGACATTATCAAAATACATACACTAGCTCTCAGTCTCTCATATGGATAATTAGATTTTTAGCCTGTTATGTTCCAGAACATTTATTAAAAGTTAAATTCCTCAAAGTATATATTTTGTAATTGGGTCAGGCTGTCGTTTTACCAAAAATTTGATTATTTTTTTTTGTAGATATTGATTACAGAAGGCTCACACCACTAGATGTCGCTGTTTACTCGGTCTAGTAATTGCACGCTTCCATGCGCTAAGCGTCACTGGGCCTTTCTAAGCACTGATTGCTATGCTTACCACGACTGCATGCCCAACTTCCTCACTTCCACTTCCATTCGTATCCCGAATCTCACACATGCCAGAATAACGCTGAGCCACTGGATTTGCCAACGCTTGTGTTTTTACAATACGGATGAACGCAGCCATGCATTGCAAGGTGAGTCGCTTATTCTAAATATTATATTAAAACTAGTTTCTTAATAAAGGTAAAACCAAACCAGGGGCTAAAGTTTTTTTAATTTTCTTCTTAAGTTTCAGAAATAATAATCCATATATTCTTAGTCGACTAATTTTTTAATTAGTAGTTAAAGTAGACCTGAAATTTGCTTGCATGAGTTAATTTACAAAGGTTTTTCCACGTATCTGGTCATTCTAACTTTAAATTACTTTAGTTATGGACATTTGAGTGTTTTTTTTTCTTCTATTCTAGCAAAGGAGTTATAAATCATTAATCTTCAGTGAAATTGTCCATATCACATATTTTGTGAAAATTTAGAAATTATTCTTCAAGATAGATTACAGATTAACAAATATAATTATATCGTTTAACAGATCATGATTTATAGACTGTTATTCAAATCATTACACATAATATAAAACGTTTATTTATATATTTTATAACATGCCTATAATTAACATAAACCACAGATCTGTTTAGCACATTAAAAATGATTAATGAATGTTATTATGAAATATGATGGGGGTTGGGGGATTGTGGACAACAACAACAACAACCAAAAAAAAAAGGAAAAAAAAAAGGCCCAACCATGATCTTTTGAGGTCAGCAGGGGCGTGTGGCTGTCTGGAAGTATTTGCCATGTGGCCCAAAAATCATCTGCTAGAACCACTCTTTCTGTGGATTTACTGGCAGAGTTAAACCACAAGTGATTTTAATCATATAGTTTGTGTAAAGGGCAAGGGAAGCTATTTCCTCCAGTTAATGTTAGTCTATGAAGTGGGAGTTTGATGGTACCTAAACTGTTGTTAAAGTGCCAGAAAGGTAATAAACCTTGACAGGATGCTGGTGGTTGGAGATTTTGCTTTTCATGCTATACATACACGTGGCAAATAACAATCACATTTCCAAACAATCCAAAAATGCTAAATTGCACTGTTACCACTGAAAATGCCATAAATAGTGCATTGAATCCTCAAATTGCAACACAGACCAGACGTCTGATTAGAATCTGGGCTGTATGCTACCAAATAGAAAATGTATCTTTAAATAGCACACCAGATATATATTTTTTTTATTATTATTACAAAGCAATGGCTGTTGAGGAGCTGAACTGATGTCGTGTGGACCGTCTGTTCTATACAAATCTGTGGCTGTAAGTAACTTGAATTTTCTGACTTTGTTAGTGCCGTATATTTTTTAGACATTTCACACAATGTAGCAGTGCTCATTAGGGCAGTACTGCCTTGGTTACCCATTGTAATGAACTATGCCATTGTGAAACTTGTTTATGTAGAATCTGCTTTAATGCACATGACTAATACAGAGACAGGATTCTGGAAATCCATTGGTAAAACACTATTTGTCTAACTTGAATGTTTGTTTGGCAAAATTTACTAACGAAATTATTGCAGGTCAAGATGTGTGGATCTATGTCTGCAATATCTCTGCAAGTCTGGGTGACACTGATGTTGCTCTCTCGACTTCAAGGTGCCTGTTTGTTTCCTTTCTAAACATTAGAGTATCTAAGATCTAGAACAGAATGTAGGTCAATGACATATAAGAGTGACCATGATAAAAGAAAAGGACAAATCTTAAAACACGTGTAGCAGATGGTTCTTAGAAAATGTATTCTTTGTGTTTGTGTTGGTTTTATATGGTTTTGATCAACCTTTATGCCATTTTCAAGAAGAGATTAAACTGAGTAGTGTAACCATTAAATGTAATAACATATTTTTATGAGAAAAACAAATTAGAATTGTGAGATATAAAATGTGATCTGTGTTCTCCTACTTTGTGAGAATTGATTTTGATCTCACAATTTTTAGTTTACATCTCACAATTCTGCTTTGTGCCACAAAATAAAAAAATAAAGATTATCAACTCACAATAAAAAAGAAGCCTTTTTTTTGGTGGTGGTGGTGGTGGAAATATGCTTTCATATCTACAAGAGCTCATTATAACACACATTTACTGTTTTATGTTTTTTTCCCCTCTATTTTTCCCCCCTGCATGTTTCTGCAGGTTGGTTGTGCCACATGATTATGGTTAGGCAGACAAAAGTTTAAAAAAAATCTAATGAATACAGATTATAAATAAAAGATCGGCTTTTTATCTTCATTATGAAAAGGACAGGACAGTTGTAACACTCTAACATTTTATGCTTTATGGCCCCTATAAAAATAACAAAATTAAGTTTTAATTAAAAAAAAAAAAAAGCTCATCATAGAAGAGGTGGATACATTCATTGCATTTTAAATGTATTTTTGAATAAATTAATAGGTATGAATAAAACAATGACTTAAAATTATTGACCCATGTGCTCTTTCATATCGTTGTTAAATATTATTCTAATATTTACAAAATGATACCATTTTAAATCATATCTGTTTTGTCGATATGTCCTAGGTAAGGTCCTTGCACCGTCTCATCTGCAGGCGATGACTGGACTTCCCTTCATGCTGGCCTGCAATATTACCTTGGAGACAGGAGAGGATTTAAAACAAGTGCTGTGGTTAGACATGACAAATAAAACTATACTACACTATCAGCCTGATAAGTATGACCACGTCACCCAAGTGGATGGAGTTGAGCTTTCACAGCAAACCGCAGGTCAGCAAGCTCACACCAGCGTTATCACCATCAGAAGAGTCGCGCCAGCCAACGAGGGCTGCTACCAGTGTCTTTTTGATGTGTACCCAACCGGGCAGCAGAGAGGAAGGACGTGTCTTTCACTTACGGGTGAGGCTTGGGAATCACTTTCAAACTTTCTAAAAATGTTTCTGTGCTCTTGATATTTTTCCCCACTGATGATTTGAATATATGAATTTAGAAGGAAATATTACTCATCAAAGGGACTGCAAAAGTGTGTCATAGGAAATGCTATTTTTTAGACCTGCACTATGATGGTTTCATGATGAATGGCTGTTATTTGTGGTTATCACATTGCGCTCACAAAACATTGACGATTAGTTATAAATAGTGCCCCAACAGGAAGTGGTGAGAACCACTTTCCTGCCTGGCCTCTTTTACTTAAAAAACTGACAACAAACTATCACGAAAATCACAAGACTCTACATCAGATAAAAACTGCCATTGGGTTTCTGATAAGTAAATTTTTATCAGCCTAAGTGAGTGCGGGTTACAACTGAAGGCAATAAATGTATGCTAATTTCTAGTGTCGTGCATTTTCCGAATATTAACCTGAACGTAGTCTTAAAGGCATAGTTCACCCAAAAATGACATTTATTTCTTCTGTGGAACATGAATAAGATATTTTTGAGAAATCAGTGGGTTTTTTCCCCATAAAATAGCAAGTCAGTGGTCACCAACACTCTAAATAAAGGTGCTTAAAAGGTTCTTCACAACGATGCCATAGAATAACCATTTTTGTTTCCACAAAGAACCATTCAGTGGTTCTTTAAAGCAGTGGTTCCCAACCCTGTTCCTGGAGGCACCCCAACACTGCACATTTTGCATGTCTCCTTTCTCTGACACACCAATTTCAGGTCTTGGAGTCTCTACTAATGAGCCGATGACCTGAATCAGGTGTGTTTGATTAAGGAGACATGCAAAACGTGCAGTGTTGGGGTGCCTCCAGGACCAGGGTTGGGAACCACTGCTTTAAAGAACCATCTCTTTCTTACCTTTTCATAATCTGAAGAACCTTCCGCCACAAAGAACCTTTTGTGAATCAGAAAGGTTCTTCAGATGTTAAAGGTTCTTTATGGAACCATTTAGACAAAAAAAGCTTCTTCTATGGCATCGTGAAGCACCTTTATTTTTTAAGAGTGAAGTATGGTGTAAATAATGACATGATTTTCATTTTTGAGTGAACATTCCTACTTAATAGTTAAAGAGCATGTAAAATCTCTTCACTTTTCTTTTTGTATTCCTTTCAGCAATGGTGGAAATGATGGACAATAAAACAGTTGTGAGCGGAAAGCCTGTTACTCTTTTGTGCAAGTACATTCTCAGTAAGCGAATCCGGCAGGTTTTATGGAAAAAAACAGCTGAGCAAGGGGACACCACCACTGTTGCTTCTTATGTCAAGAATGACAGACCCATCATTAAGACCCCTTTCAAGGATCGGATCACACTAAATCCGTCACTTGGGCAAACCAAGCTCTCCATACACCAGGCTCAGACAGAGGATGAGGGCTGTTACACCTGCGAGTTCCACACGTACCCAGATGGCATTAAGAGTGCAACAGGTTGTCTGTCAGTTTATGGTAAGTGCAAAGAGTAGTAATGACAGTGCTTATAGGCATGTTTATTTGCTTTAAAATTCAAGGGATAGTTCACCCAAAAATGAAACGTTCTTGTGAAAGTGCATCGAAGACTGACACTTTTGAATTTTTTTCTCTTTATTTATTTTTTTGTCATGATTTAGTTAAAATAAAAGGTACAGTAAAAATGCAACTCATAAAAAGCTTGAATGTACCTCTTCTAATATATGTTTCTAATTGCTGAATTAAAATGAAACGTTGATGTTTTATAATACCCACATGGATGTTACTACAGTAAATAGCACTGCGAACAGAATTAAGCTGCGACAGCTAAAAAATACATAAATTTCACACGTGTAATTTTGCATGAAATCTCATGCGTGTGGGTTTGGAACATTTCACATGTTCAATCAATGTGCTTTTTCCATTAGCATTGTTTGGGTATTTAACAGCCCCCTTGCCTCTCTTCGGGGTCATACAAAGTATCTAAATATATGTAGGAGTGGGTGTATTTGTAACAAACTGAAAGATGCAGTGAGAGTGAGAAAGTGTTTGTGTGTGTGTGAGGAAAACAGCTTATAAAAATAGTACTAAACAATGCTGTAATTAAAAAGTAAAAATGCAGAAAAAAATAAGTTTTGTGTAAAAAAAATAAAATAAATACAAACCTGAGAAAAAATAGAAATTATTTACTCTTTTGTTTTTCCAAATCCACATGGCTTTCTTTCTTCGACTGAATATAAAAATGGAAAGGTTACTCTTTATTTTAAGGTGTCCGTGTTACAGTGTAATTATACATTTAAGTACTGAGTAATATTAATTAACTACTGTACATGTACTTATATGGTTAAGGTTAGGTTTAGGGTTTGGCTTAGGGTTACTTGCATGTAATTATGCATAATTAATTGTTATTATAATAGTATACATGTAACGTGTAACAAAGACACCTTAAAATAAAGTGTTACCAATAGAAATTCTGAAAACTGTGTTAGTCACTCTTTTCCATGGTCCATCATCGCAGTGAATACAGACTTTCAGGTTTTAAAAAGCATGCAAAAAGCAAGTTGCCATATGATAGCTTTGTGTGACAAACTAATCAAAATTAACATTGTTTAGCTTTCGAACACTGTGACTGAATTGAGTCAGTGACTTGCCAGATCCTTCCACTTTGTGAACAAATCATTTAAACCTCTTAAAGTTAGCTGAAAAGAAGTGTTGGAAACTACTTTTCTTTTGATGTGACCATAGGACAGAAGTCATATTGACCACATTTATGATGCTTTCTTATTGTACTATTAGGTAAATGACAGCATTTAATTTTTGGTGTCAACTGTTACTTTAATTTGATGGATTTCTTCCTTGTTCACTCTAAAATTACACTTAGATTTCTACAGCGATAACTATTGCTCAGTAGTATTTCCTGTTTCAAATAAGTTTCAGTGCAGTACTGCAATAAATTACACAGAGATAACAAAATGCGCTACATTCTTTATCTCATGCAACTGTTTAGCAGTGGTGATATTAGCATCCAGATTTTTTTACTCCGTTGAAAACATCCCGTCCACTTTTAGGTAAATTATTTTTGGGGAGGAAGCTCACAATCAGTCAAAGCTGACACTGGTTATAATGCTTGGCTGTGACTGTAGTTTAGAGGATAGATTGGGATGAGGGCCAGTGCGATTACTGCGTCTCTGTTCCTCTAGAACAGAGCTCCACTGTGTTTGCTTTCCCTCTGTTGATATTCCCCAAACAGTCTGGCTGTTGTCACCAAAAAGCTCACACAGCCACAGAAGTGGACAGAGCCTCACTCTCCCCTCGTCTTGTCATGATTTGTCTCTTTCTCTTTTATCTGACTTATGTCACAGTGTCCCTCTTTGATGGAGTCTGCTGCAGACATGACCAGCGTCTGACGGCTTGTAATCAGCATAACAACACAAGCGCCTTCTTTTGTCTTCTGAATGAAGCTACCACTTACAATACAACAAAGAAAAGTTCAACATGACCAATACAGTATTTGTAATGGACATATACAAAGTTCACATATTTGGCACACTTAAGACTGTTGTGAGGGTTCCCAGCTAAACATTATCTCAGCAACCATGAGTACACAGGATATCTCTATGGATTTTAAGTCTAAAGATTTAAAAAGTAAACAAAATGTTAAAATTAGGACTGTGAATTGAATTTGTTAATTTACTGCAATTGCTGAGGGAATTAGCAGATAATAAAGGTTTGAATGCATCTGCAAAATAAGAAATGTACTTTGATATGGAACAAAAACAAATTAAAGATAGATATGGGCCTGACTTGTCAGTAGGCCAAAGTGATATTTTAGTATCATTGAGATAATATTATAGTATTTATTAATATTTTGAATGTGTTTATTTTTTTGCTTTCTGAAGTTATGCAGTTTTCCTTTTTATTTTAGTTAAAGTTTTAGTGAAACAATTTTTGTGTGTTTTTGTCATTTAAATTTTTTTATGTCTATATAATTTTTTTTATTAATTTTTACTTCGGTTTATTTTAGTTATTTTAGTACACCAAGTTAAACTAATTTAAAATGAAAAAATGTTGGCAACTAGCTGAAATAAAATGTTTTTTTTTTGTGTGTGTTTTTTTAAATTTTTTTAAATTGGTCACCTTATTTTAAGGACCAGTTCTTATTATTAACTATTAACTGCAACTTTTGCCTCAGTAAACTACTAATTTGCAGCTTATTAATAGTTAGTAAGGTTGTTAAGTTTAGGTATAGGGTAGGAGTAAGGGATCCAAAATGTGGTCATGCAGAATAAGGCGTTAATATGTGCTTTATAAGTACTAACAAACAGTCAATATGCTAGTAATATGCATGATAATAAGCACCTATAGTTAATAGTGAGAATTGGTCCCTAAACTAAAGTGTTACCAATTTTTTTTAATTCTATTTTAAGTTAACATTATTTTTATTCATAAGTGTAGGTGTCATTCACCCTGGCCCACATTCGCATAATTATTATTTTTAAGCTTGAAGTACTACTTTTAAACAATACTATTAAAACCACCTTTCATAATGTCTATTCAATGTTTCAGTGTCTTTTAGTTATGTTAAATTGGGGCAAATTTCCAGCAAATACACTGATATGTGATTAATGTAGTTAATCAAGTGTCGTATCATGAAATTAATTCAAATTAAATGCTTAATTGATTTACAGTCATATTTAAAAATCTTTACACTGTTAAAAAGTACAATGTTAATGTCTTTATATGTCATTTTCCTAGTCCTACCCAAACCTGAGGCCAGTTACGTCACCGTATCGCAGGGCATTGTTGAGGCGAACTGCTCAGCCGTGTCACGTCCTGCAGCAGAGATTTCCTGGAACGTGGAGGGTCATAATCAAACTCTGGGCCCTGCCGTCACATCATTTTATCAGCTAGGGGACGGCACCACCATGGTGGTCAGTTCCATTGAAATGCAGACTGAGCTACTGGACGATGAACTTGTGAAGTGTGAAGTTCATCACCAAGGCCTTGAGTCTGCCATCTATGTGTCTCTGAATAAATGTGAGTGAAACTTACTCAACTCGGAGGGTCATAATCAAACTCTGGGCCCTGCCGTCACATCATTTTATCAGCTAGGGGACGGCACCACCATGGTGGTCAGTTCCATTGAAATGCAGACTGAGCTACTGGACGATGAACTTGTGAAGTGTGAAGTTCGTCACCAAGGCCTTGAGTCTGCCATCTATGTGTCTCTGAATAAATGTGAGTGAAACTTACTCAACTCTATGTTTTTGTCCTGTTATGTTCTGGTTTTGTTTCTAGACTGTTGAGAATATTTGATTTGTTTAGTTAATATGTGTGTGTGTTTTTATTGCAGCAAGGAACGTCCACGTCATTCTCATTTCAGCCTCTTTGGATTTGAGACTTTAGTCTTTGCAAATTTACAGATCTTCTTTATGCACCAAGAGCTTGTAACACTCCAAAGAGAAAGGAAAAAATGAAATCGCATCATATGACCCCTTTAAAATAAAGTGTAACCATTAAAACATGTGGTTGTTACATATAATACAAAACAAATCATCATATAGATATGATTAACATATGTACATATACAAATTTACTATGGGGATTTTATATATGTTATAAACTAAATTATATCTACCCACTGAATGCAAGTGTGTATGAAAATGATATATTGCCTGATATGTTACATGTATGGTAATATCACTCTTGATATAAGACGTATGGAAATAGTAAAATATAACTATAGAAAAATATATAATAATATAATATTTAAATACGTTATACATTTGAGATTTTTAGATGGACTGTATATTGTGTTTCACCCTATTAAGTTAAAGTTAATTAAGTTAAAGACTGCACTATTGTCAATAAATACCCCAGATGCCTTTTACAGAGGAGATGATGAAAACAGCTACTGGAGAAATGTATAGCCGGAAATTGAGAGAGAGACGCCAGAATGACTCACTAACCTCGCACAATCTGTCTTCTTTATCCAAGTCTTCCTTCCTGCTTCGTTCTCTTCAACTTTCCTCTCCTAGAATCTGCAGGTCACCTTAGAGGGTCGAAAGGAAAAAAAAGTTTTACTTTTTTAGTTTTAGTTTTACATTCAAACTAAAGCAGCTACATCCGCCCAAGAAGCCTTGGGGCGTGAAAAAAGTGCCTCAGGCCAGTCATATGGGAAGTCAAATCATTCTGTTCAGGTTGTGTTCATTGAGTCATTCTCTCATAGCTCATTACTGCACTAAACACTTGACTTATAATCAGTGAAGTGGTCCTAAATTTCTTCTGCTCGGTTGTGATTTTTTGAGTTTGAATTTTATTGCATTAGAAAGTAACTAAAATAAGCAAGTAATTTAGTAAGCACTGAAATATGTTTTGTTGTCAGATAAAATGTAAAAAATAGTATAGTAGCAAAGGTTATAGTGAAACCAAAGCCAAGGGTGAAGTATGTTTATTATGTCTGTGTATCTGCCTGAAGAGGTGCTAACTTCACCTGCTGATATGGTCAGTAGCACCATGCAATGTCTGTCCACTTTAATATCATGTCTCACATTAATTTAATGCTGAATAAAATTATGCACAATTTTTTATACTAATTTACAAAGTAGTTATAAAATAATGCTTATATAAATGTTAAATGCTGTTGGATCCATGCCTTTATGTTTTAAATATAAGGGTGTACACATATAAGAATGTAGAAGTTTGTGTGCAAGAATAAGCACAGGAAGAAGAAATTGTTTACTTTGGATAAAGCTGTAAATTTTTATTTTTTAAACTCTTTGCTTTTGACACTAATTTTTGACAGGGTGAAGCAACAAGTTCAGAATTTGGATGATCACAGGCACATTACTGTGTTGGAATTAAAATCAAGCGTTTTTTTATTTATTGTTGAGGGACAGAAGTATTTCAGTCCACCATGTTAAAAATATCTATATAACCCATACGCAAATGTAATATGTGTACATACATATTAGATTTACACATATTAAATATGCTGTCATATGAAGTAAAAAACATATTTGTCAGATAAAATGTAAAAAATAGTATAGTAGCAAAGGTTATAGTGAAACCAAAGCCAAGGGTGAAGTATGTTTATACAGAGCCCCGTTTATGTACAGAACCACAGGAAGCCTAAGGTATTGCCACTTCCTGTCTCTTGCAAGAAGCCCATCTTATACCATGACCGTTTAATATTTAAAATGCTTCTACAGAGTCAAGGTGTGATGAACACAAATTCAATGTGAATTGCCATTGCAACTCATTTTACTTCAATGATGGGAATTATTTATGAGTGAAACAGGAAATAAATGGAGGGCACATTATTTTATTCATCAGGACTTGATTAAATCATGAAAAGTGGGTGTTAAAATACCAGAATGGAGTGAGAGTGATGTCTACAGAGCTTTTTATTGTATTTTGAGATTATAAAGATAATAAAGAAAACTTTTTTTTTTTTCAGTAACAAGCTCTGATGAATCATTCACAATAAGAAGATTGAAAAAAGTAACTTGGCCCTTTAGAACTGAATGTTACATTCCATTTGACCCGAAACTGTATGGCTGTTCCTTAAATGTTGAGTGTCACATTTGTCTGAAGTTTCCAGAGGAGGATGAGCTCCTCCAGTTGAGCCTGGTTCCTCCCAAGATTATTCTCCCTCTTCACATAAACATCTTTATTGAGCTTTTCTTTGCTACTATCACTTTGACTTGCTTCCCAAGGACATTAAGGCAATAAAC